AAAAAAAAAAAAAAATTCCAGAATTACATCTAACGCCATCATATTTTAAAATTTTAAGAACATTATTATCTCCAAAGGATGTCTCTATCTTTTCAAGGTCCGGGGATTTAGCTCAGTGGTGTCCCTGCCTGCCTCTCAAGTGCAAGATCCCGAGTTAAATACCAAAAAAAAAAAAAAAAAAAAAATTCATGGCTTGCTTACACTTCACTTAGCACCTGGTATGAAGGGCTGAGGACAGACTTTACAAAGACAGCAGCAATCTGCCCAGGAACTTGGGGCACCAGGCAGGGCTGGCAGAAGGCAGCAGAGGCTCCTCCCACAAAGGCCTCCCACAAATGGGCCCCCATACCACCCTTGAGGGCCCAAAACATACACCCACACACCCACACACACCCACCCCTTCAGGCTAACTCCGAAGAAACGAAGGCAGAGCCTATTTACTGTGTTTCACTGCAACCAGGGCACAGCCCAGATATCAGGCCAGCCTGTTTCAAGTTCAATTAGTGACCCACTTTGTAAAGCCATCCCCACCCCCGGTTTCCTGTTTTCAGTCTGCCCTACTTCCTACCACCGGGCCAGGCAGTGTTGCCGGCTCAGCTTCCCTGGCCCGAAAACTCCACCCCCCAGATATCTGGTCCATGTCTTTGTGGCCCAAGTGCATGGTGACCCTCAAGGAAGGGTGAGCACCTGGTTCACAGCCTGCAACCTGCAGTGTACTATGTGCACCTAGAGCAAGCAACTCACAGCTTCCAGGAGTTTTTCTAGGCGTTTCTGGCAGGTGCAGAGTGGCTCCCCACCTGTCCTGGGAGTCCAGGGACTGACCCCTGGCTCCTCTCACAGCCTTCTCCCTCCTCTGCTCCTGGCCTGGTCCATCTGGGTCAATCCAGGCACACCTGGAGCAGGGGCTGGGAATACCACAGCTAACTGAATTAAACACCCTGTGAACTGGCTCACAATGTGACTCTACTGACCTCAAGCATATAATCATCTAACTTGGGTCTGATTTCCTTTGGGGCTGCAAAGTTAGGAGGAGAAACCAGAGATGGTGCTGCTGTCTGCAATATCAACCCAGTGTTTCCCAACTGAGAGGGAGCCCTGTCTTGGCATGCCAGTTGGGCAGCTCCAGACAGACCTGTCCAGAGGGCCCGCACGCAGAGTGGAGTGAAGCAACAACCTGGCCAGGCACTGGTAGCATCAGAAAGGGCAAGAACTGAGAACGGGCCCTGGGAGGAGGTGTTAGGAGGCCAGAGGGTGACATCTGAGCCCGACATTCTCCCACCAGGGGACATTAGGAAGCCTCCACCACAGACAGGGTCTCAAGTGATGCTGCTGCTGCTGACCCCAAGGCCAAAACCAGGTGTTGGTCACAGATCTGAGGCTACTCCTTGACCTAGGCCCAGCTACATCCGGCTCAGTCCTCAGAGTCTCACAACTCAGCATCAGAGAGCACCCACAGCTTCCAGCACCCACGGGGGTCCAACAGCATCTGGAGGGTGCGGTGAAGCTCATGGTATAGCGGTTGTGTAGCATGCATGAGGCCCTGGGTTCTATCCCTAGCACCTCAAAGAAAAGAAAAGACCTCAAAAACTGAGAATTCCCACTCTGAGAATTCCTCAAAAACTGAGAATTCCCACTCTGAGAATTCTAAGCTCCACCACTTCCACCTCCAATAATTACTTGCTTATCCCACTGGGTGCCCTCTCGGTCCCTGCGCCCTCCCAGCTGTCTGTCTTCATCGAAGAGGCCCCAGGAGCTGTTGAGAAGGTTAAATAGATACAGCCCCCCACACCTGGCTCCCATCCCCCTCAGAGTATGGGCAAATCCCACCACAGCCTGCAAGGCCCATTTTCCCGCCTGCACTGACCCCACTCCCAAAACATGGGGCTCCTGGTGTTTTACCACTCTTCCTGGCACACAGATCTCCCTGATGTGTGCAGAACCCGGTCTCTCCAGGGCTCTCCTGGGCTCCGGTCAATCGCCACAATGTAAGTATAGACTGCTTGAACACCGCCAACCCTGTAGGGCTCTTCTAGGGCCCAGCTCCATCAGACACACTTGTCCCAGCACGTCCCTCTGTTGCTCCTGAAGTGGAAAATGTTCCATTGCATCAGGGACTTTGCCCTACACCCTGAACCAGGGCTAGGACCCTGCCTGGCCCAACCCAACAGGCTCCCATAACAACTTGCAGGGGCTGGGGCTGTAGCTCCGTGGTAGAGCTTGGCTTAGCATGCTTCTGTACCTGGGTTCCAGCCCTAGCACCCAACAAACGATCAAACCCCAAAACAAAAACAAAAATTACAAAATAGGGAATGAATGAAATTGAACACACCGGAGCTTGCCAGACCTGGCTTCCTCTGCCTTGAACACTCCAGGCTCTGTGTCCAAACACCCTCTTCTGTAATCCTCTCCCTCCCTCGCAGGATCAAATGGCAGCTCTTTTGTCCACCTCTGTCCATCCCTCTGCCACCAGACAGCTCTGCAGGGAGGCTAGGAGAGGCAGTCTGTGTGTCCTTGTCCCAACTCAGCCACTGTGCCAGGATGGGGTGTGTCTTTTCTATGTTTATCTAAATTGTGCTTCTCCAAATCCTGAGGTCCCCCTGAAGGGCGCGAAGCTAACCTGTTGCCCCTGTCACCCTCAAACAGCAAGCAAATCCCCACAGGGCAGGAACCCCTTCCTCAAGTTCTCTGCCACGGAAGTCCCGACCTGCCAGGGCTTCTCCTTCTGGGATACCCGCTTCAAGAGAAGCCTGCATCCTTGGGGTAAACTGAGACTGGGGTGGTGCCTGGCCACCCCTCTATTTCTGCCCATAAGCAATCTGGTCCAGCTGTGCCCCTCGCTTGTAGGATCCTCTGCCTGACCTGCAGCGACCTCACACCAGTCTCTCTCCGGCCTGCCTTCGGGGCTGTGGCTGTCGGCCCTTCCCCTCCCCCTCAGGCACCTCCTCTGGACTCTGTCATCCCAGCCACTGGACTGCGACGTGCCTGAGCACCGGGACCCGTCCCTGACGGCGGCAGCTCCCCAACACCAACCACATCCTCCGCCTCTCCGCATTCCCCCCTCCACTTCACATCCGCCCCCAGTCCACCGCCCCTCCGGCTCGGCCCCGCCCCCGCCCCGGCCCCCAGCCCAGTCTCGTCCTCCTCCTCAGCTCCCTCGCCCTGCCCCCCAGCCTGGTCCCCCCATCCGCCTCCCCTTCTGGTCCCCTACTCCCCATCATCCCAGCCCCCCAAGCCCAGTGCCCCGTCCTCCCAACAGCGTCTGCCCGGCCCTCCCCTCGCGATCTCTCAGTCCCTTTCTCCCCGCGTCCCCGACCCCATCCCGATCCCCGGGCTGCGCACTCACCCGCCCCGGACCCTGGGCTCCGCCACCAGCGCAGCAGGGCGCGCGCGGGCTCCAGGCTCACGGCGCAGCGCTGCTGCTTCACCCACAGCTCGGAGCGTAGCGGCTCCGCCGACCCCGGCGCCCCCATCGCAGGCTCCTGCAGGGCCCGGCGGGGCCGGACCGTTACGTCTGCAATGGCCGGCGCAGCGGGGCGGGGCGTGTGCGTCACTCCGCACGCAGCGGGCGGGGACGGAGGGACAAAGGGAGGGGCGGGGGTGAGGGGGGCGACGCAGAGGAAGGGACCAGGCGGGTAGAGGAGGGGCTGGGATGGGGCACGGAGCAGACAGTGAGGTGGACAACAGAGGAGGGGACAGGAGGGGTCTGCCGGAGGGGGCAGAGGAGGGGTGGGGGGACCAGGCGAGACTGCGGCAGAAGGGCTCTGAGCAGGAAGAGGGGTAGAAGGGGGGACTTAGGGGTGGGAGCGCTCTGCAGCTGGGGCTGCAGGTGGAGGCCGCTGTCCTGTCCACTTCTCCCCGGCTGGCACCCGCCACTCGTTGGCCCTGCTGAAGTGGCGCTTGCCTAAAGGGCCAGAGCGACAGGAGGAGTTGGGTGATGCAGAAATGTGGCTGGGCAGCTGGGCGGTGCCTGGAAATGGGCACCCAAAGATGCCTCTGATCTTGGGCTTTCTCAGCAGTCGGCTGGGGAGGGACCTGAAGGTCCCTGGGGAGCAGCAGGCTGGGAGGCTTGCAGGTGGGGGCAGTCTCCTGCCTAAGAGAGACATTGGAGGGGGGGAGCTGGGGTCCCACAGCTGAGGCCTCCCTTTCAGGCAGGCCGAGGACCCCAAGTCCTTGAGCCTGAGCACTTTGCAGAATCATCACCTCTGTGCAGAGCTCAACTCTGTGAGGCTCACCCAGGGAGCCTCAACATCCACCCTGCGCTCAGGGAGATGTTCCTGACCAGGCATGCAGGGGCCAGCCCTCCCCTCAGAGCATCTGTCCCCTCCTGCAGACCCCACGAGGATGTGGGCCTGCTCACCCCTGGGTCCCCTTGTCTACAGTCACTTAGGGAGTGGTCACCTTGATCCCTAAACTAGTACTGAGTCAGGGGCTCAGAGAGGTGACTTAAGAGCATGGGGCTCCAAGGACAGAGCCAGAACACACCAGAGTCTGGCTCTAGGCCGGCGGAGCCACCTGCACTAGCTCTCTCCTCTCCCTGCCCAGCCCTGGGGCTTCGACGGAGGCGGGGTGGGCCAGGTCCACCTAGGCTCGTGGCCGTGCCTGGCACTGGCAGCTATAGGCACAGGTCCTACCCTGCCATCGTGAATCACTGCTCCCTGGGAGCCCAGCCCCCACCCAAGGCTGGCAACCTCCCTCAGCTTCTTCTGGCAAAGTCAGAGTCGTGCCCCACCCTGTGCAAGCTAGACCTGATCTCCCTCCCACGGCTCCTGCACTGAGGCTTGGGAAATGTGGATATGAAACTTGTTTGGAAACCCCAGAGCGGGCAGGGCTTGAGAATGCCAGCCTCCCTGCTGTGGCCAGGGGCCCTCTGTCCCTGCATTCACTCACTGAGTACCTGCTACAGATGCCCCATGCTGGCGATAAAATCCCTAGCCAGATTGGAGGGTCCAGAAAGGACTCTGCTGCCTCAGCCTTCCGGGGAGACAGCCATGTTGGTCACAGAACACTAGTGGGGTCTTAAGTACCACCCTGGTGCAGTGGGGCCTGAGGAGGGGCCCCGTCTTGCTTCACACAGTGGGCTCACATCTCCTGGCAAGGAGCAGGGCTGAACTGCGTGTCCCCCACAAAAAATCTGGACACACAGATACCAGAAGATGTGTTCACAGAGGAATGGCCACGTGATGAGGCAATGGGAGGTGGCATCTGCCAGCATCAGGGACACCAGTCGTGCTGGCCCCTCTGCCTGGGACCCCAGCCTCTGTGAAATGGAACGTGAGGCCAAGCCACCGACTCGGCCCAGGGCATCCAGGCCCACTGAACAGGGCCCTCCTGTCTGGGCTCCTGTTGCCTGGAACCGGCTGGGGAGGGGCCTGGTGTGCAGGATTCAGGGGACAGGGTGACCTGGTGAGGGCCACACTCTCCTGGGACTCACTTTCTGCTGGTGTAGTGGACAGAGTTGGAGGTGGACAGGATGAGGCCCTTTAGGAGCCCCAGGGCAGGCCTGAGCACATCACTGGGAGGGACAGATGCAGAGTGTGCTGTGTGTGGATTCCCCTGGGGCCTCTTGGGAGGTGGGTGTGAATGGCAACTGTCAGGGGGCCAACGGGAGCCATGGAAAAGCCCATATGAACCCAGTGTGGCGGTGCATGCCTGTAACCCTAGCACTTGGGAGGCCGAGGTGGGAGGGTCATGGGGACAGACCCCAGGAGATCTGCCTAGGAGACCCTCACTCACCCCCACTTCATGCGTTGTGGCCCTGCCACACAGCAACACCCTCACTGTCTCTGGTCTGATTTGTGCACAGCTGGCCAGCGCCCTGCATTGCCAGGTGGGCCAGTGGCATGTTGATTCAGGCCTGCCCTGCACCTGCCCCTATCCTATGCTCAGCCTGCAGACTAGGACTGCTGCCCAGTGGCCTGGTGCCCCAGACATGCCAGGCTGGACATCCTGCCTCACCACCACGTCGAGCATCCTCTGCCTCACATTCCAGGCTTGAGTGCTGCTGGGACCCTGAGGGCCTGGCGAGGCACACACGCTGCCACCTAACACCCGGTGCTTCCACCCACAAGGTCCCTCTTCCTGGAGCCCCTCACTCATGTGCTGGACAGTCCTGCCTGCTTATCTCCCAGCTTCCTGCCTGACAGGGTCAGGCCCTTTGACACCAGGGACTAGAATACTGCTGGATGGGGAAGAGAGGATCAGGCTCACTGCACTTTGGCTGCCAGGAATGTTGCCCAAGCCTGCACCCTCGAGGAGTAGCCTTCCAAGCACTGCCAGTCAAAGTTAACTGCCTATGAGAAATGTACTGGAAGCTAGGTCTGCTGGTAGACACCTGTAATCCCACCACTGGGGAGGCTGAGGTAAGGGAATCACCATGAACTCGAGGCCAGCTTGCGTAACATAGTGAGTTTAAAGTCAGCCTGGACTACATAGTGAGACCCTGTCTCAGATACCAAAACCAAAAAACCAAACCAAAATGCAAATTCCCACCTTGCCAGCATAGCCCAGGCATAACTGCTGGAAATGGGTTATTTACTTATTTTACAGAAAGAACTGTAAAAGACAAGAGGCCCACAGAACAAAACAGACCTGTGCAAGTCACAGACAAAGCAAAGGAGATTGGTGGACACTCAGGCTTCCCTGAAGTTCTGGTTTGTGTTTAGATGTCCCCTGCAAAGCCTCCTGCGGTCAGTCACAGGTGGCTTTTTCAGAGGTGGCTGAATCTAGAGTGTGTGATGCTGGGATTAAGGCCATGTGACTACGAAACCAGTCCACTGATTGGTTTGGCACCACCCTAATCCCGGTAATCTGGAGAAGATAAAAGGGACAGAAAGACACGGTTAAGGTTCCCTTGTTGCTTTTGTTACTTTGCATGTTCCATGTTGTTTCTCCTTTACGTGCCTGTTTGCCATCCACACTGCCTTGGAGCCAGCCAATTGTGGACTGAAACCTTTACAAACTGTGAGCTTAATAAATCTTTCCCCCTTTAACTTTGAGTGTCTGGTATTTTGTATCAGCGAGAGAAAAGTAACTAAGACACCTAGACTGTAGGGGCCCCTACCACAGGACGTTCTGAAATAATGAGAGCCAAAAGCTCCAGCCAGTGCCCTTTGTACACACTGCTCCTTGGGCTCCCTGGTGGGACAGTGCACCCACCCTAAAGGGCACACAGGGCAGCCTAATCTTACTTGACTCGCCCATCTGGGGAAGCTCAAGGTCCAGGCAGAAGGGTGGCTTGCTCACAGGGGGCGGTGCCAGGAGGGTGGGACTGAGCTGGTAGTGACAATGGGGTGGGAGTGGGAAGAATCCCAAGACATGGCTGGGATCAGGGCTGCTCCACACCTGGGGTGCAGGGGGAAGCACCATACTGGAATGAGAGCCCCAAAGGCCAGGCTGGGGTTGGTCTGAGTCTGCAAGTTCCCAGACCTGCCAAAGTAACTTGCTTCCAGGCCAGGACATTGTGACCTGTGCTGGGTAGGAACGGGCAGAATGCTTGCCGCGGTGCTGATCACTTGCTCCTGCAGTCTTCAGGCTAGGACTCCCCTCAGGGGAGGAGATGAACCCCTCCAGCTCAGGGGATGGGCCAGGGATACCTGTGGGTGAGGCACAGGACTGAGAAGAAAGAGGACCTTGGGTCCAAAGCCTGTCCATGTCTGGATTTCTCTCCACAAGAGGAGTGTCCTAGAGTGGCCCTGGTCTGTCGTCCCTAGAGAGGATATGGACTTTGCACCAGCCCTGTTAGAGGAAAAAGCCAGCTCCTGTTGGAACTCAGGCACTCAGGGTAGAAGGGAGCTTCCCTCCCTTCCCCATGCAGCTTCTTCATGGCTCAGGGCTTGGAGCTGCTGCCCTGTCAGAGACAGAGGACAGATGGATGGATGGCTGGGAGGGAGGGAGGGTTCTGGGAAGGGACTGTCCACCTCACTCTAGTGACGGGTCTCCAGTCAATGGTCCCCTGCATGTTGCTACAGTGTCATTGTATTCATTGTGGGGAATGGAGCCTGCAGCAATGCCCAGGCTCAGGAGTTCGGGGAGGGTTATCCAAGGGGCGTACTCTTGCCACCTCTGTGACCCAGCAAACGGCTGCCGAGTAGCCTTTTCACACACCCCAGTGCCAGTCGGGTGGATGTGACCCCAAGCAGGGCTGGGAGGACATGGAGGCTGGTGTCACAGGGGAGGCCATAAACCACGATTTGAAGGTGGGACAGTTCGCTGGGCATGTTTTATTTGCCTTTTTGTATTTGAGGCCTATAAAAAAGATGAGTGAGGAAATAGCAGAAAGCCCAGGAGCCAGGTGAGCTGATTAAGAGGGTGTGGGTGGAGGCAGGTGGGCCTGGAGGCAAGAGGGAGCTGCACTAGGAGCCCAATGCATCATCTGGAAAAGGCAAACACAGCATCAAACAAACAGGGAACTTGGAAATGTCACTGTCAGCAGGACAATCTTAGAGTGGGGTGTGATGAGGGTCAAACCTGTGTCCCATCAGCAAGCTTTGTGCACGAAGAATGAAAGACTGAATCCAAAAATGAAAGCAAA